CAGTCATAATCTAATTGATTGATGCATAAGAGAATAACGAATAACAGAAGGAGAGAAAAGACGAAATAAAATAAAAAGAAAGAGGAAACAGAAGAGGTGATTGTTTTTCATCTCTCAGTAGGTGGTTTCGATTATAAATGTTAGAGGAGATGAATGGTAATAAAAACGAGATTCAGATCATATGCAAACTCATTATTAAATTCAAACTAAGAAATATTTACAACCTTCCAACATCATATAAATAGGCAAGCATCACATAGTTCAATTTATTCTTTTTTCTAAATTCTGCCTTTTTTGATAAATAGATCATCGCTGTTTCTTCTCATTCATCTCGTCAATTATATTTAAATAAAAGGAGTAAGCTCTAATTTTTTTCTAGTTCAATTCCAAATTAACTCCTTTTAATTTTTCATCTAGATATTATGGCTGAACCATTAATATGTCCATTATGTAAGAGTATTATGGGTAATTCTATTGATGGTATAGCTATTTATGGTTGTGGACATATGATCTGTGGTGAATGTTTCTATGATTTACATCATCAAAGTTATAAATGTTTTGTATGTAAAATATGGTCTTCAGATATATTTTTTCATTAAAGCTAGTTGTGTTCTTTTTTTCTTTGTTCATTTAATAACTCTCAATAAATATGAATAAATAATACTGAATATAAATCAATCAACATGTTTAATTTTTGATTATCACATTGATCTTAATCCTAGACTTTTTTCAATATGTTTCGTCTTTGTTCGTGTATTTAAATCAAAAAAAAATTTCAACTGATTTTTTAATATCAAAACTCATAGTTGAAAGAGATTCATTGAATTTAATAGAAATGAACGCATTAATCAAAAACATTCATAATAATAATATTGTTTATAGTGAATGTATTTCAATTAGATCATTATGATCATCATTCGGATTATATGCATCCTTCATGTGATATTCCACTCCTTTTTTTTATATAAATGAAAATCTAATTCAGTTTAAATATTTAATAATCTAAAAGGTTATCAACTAATTCTATAATTGATAGTTGAATGATAAATGTGTCGTAAATTATAGTGTCGCAAACTCGATGGAGAAAACGTGTCGTGCCTAGAATGGGTCATATATATATATTTCTTTCGTTCTGTCTGTTAACTGTTCATTCACCGTCTTGTTTCAAATCAAATTACAATACATTTAGAACAAATTGATACAGTTGCTAATATAACATTAAATACATGTTCTATTGGTAGAACTAATCGTATGTTTATACCATATATATTTAATATAACAAATTCATGTTTAAAACTTGAAAATGAAATTCAAATTGATTTTGAATCACCTGTTCTTTATGCATTAAAACAAGCTGATGCATATAATGACACAGTACCACCACTGTGTACAGCTAATGTTCAAAATGGTGTATGTCATGTACAATTTATTCGAAAAGAACCATGTTCATTTAGTTGGGATTGGGTAAGAATTTATATCTAGAGATAAAATGAATTATTTTAAGATGAACTCAAATTTTGTTTGTTTTTTGTATGGAGATTTGATATTTAAATTTGATTGAAAAATTATTAGTGCAATTAAAATGTAAAATACGATGTAGCTATTCTTGCTAATCATAGAGAGAGTGTTTTATTCTATCTATTTAAGAACATATTTATTCACTATTCTTTTATTAAACCTGCAACTGTGAAGCATTAGCTTAAACTAACGAGAAAAGTATTAATCGATTTAGGATCTGTAGTATGTACATTCTAGTGAGCTATGAATACCCTGAAAAGAATTCATGCTCTAGACTTATTGTTGTGTATACAGTAGTTTTTAAAGAAATGTCGTAGTACTCTTCAGGAAAAAAATCCTTTTCAAGTTTCGATTTGAAACTTTGTATACAGACAGATCTTAACGAGAATAGTTTATTGTGAAAGTTTTAAGTCTTTGAATTTGTATCTAGGATAGGAAAAACAAAATGATCGATTTTCGTTAAGAACTGTCTGTATGTAAAGTTTCAAGTCGAAATTCGAAAATGAGTTTTTCCTGAGGGCAACTAAAACTACTGTATACAAAACAATAAGCTAAGGGCTCGTACTCTTTTCAGAATATGCAGAATCAAAAGTAATAAATCTGTTGTGAGGCTACCCTGCTATTAAATTTGTAGTTATTCGTCAATATATTTAAAGGTGATTTAGAGGTTCAAACAAGTGATTGAACCTATCCGTCTGCTTGTTATATTTTTTTTTGCATTGAAAGTTGAGAAATGATTTTTTTTATCATTCTGACTGGATACAATCTTATCTATTAATAGATTGCACTTACATCTTTTATTGTGTATTTGTTTCGTTCTCCATTTCGATTCTTACTTGCTTATCAGTATTATACTTTTTTGTTTCTAAGTTATATTTATATGACCGTAATAGGATGAAATTTTAATTAACCTTTTCAATTACTTAATTACATACATTAAAAAAAGCAAGTGCACAAATCATGACAAGCAAATCTATTCAGAGTTCTAAAATGAAGTTCAATGATTATTAGCTGTTACTAAATTACCCGATAGATATGTTAGACATAATTTGTATTCATAATTAACAATTATATTTTTTGAATAATAAATTAATATAATTATCTATTTCTAGGGTCCAGCTTTTGCTCCAATTAGTATTCCAGGTAATATATATTTTGAAGGTGTAAATACAACAGAAATAATTATTGCACTTGAAACTGTTAATCTTGCTTCGTATAATACAGTAGATAAAACTTGGTAAGTTGATATTATGTTAAGTAGTAATAATGATCCATTTGCAAGTAAATTAAAATTTATATTAGAAAATACGACATGGCCATATGAAACTACGGTAACATTTAATCATAATTTAACAATATCTTTATCAATATCAGATGAACATGTATTACATTGGTAGCCAAATGGATATGGTGATCAACCATAAAATAATTTAGTTATTTTAAATCAAGATAATCGAATTGGTTCACGTTTAATTGGTTTTCGTACAGTTCAACTTATACAACATGAATATAGAGCAGGAAAAAATGGAACATCATTTTATTTTTCTATTAATTTTAAATCTATATTTATAAAAGGAAGTAATTGGATACCATCAGATTCATTTCAAGAACGTGTTAGTGATGAAAAACTTGAACGTTTACTACGTTCAGCTCAATTATCAAATATGAATATGTTACGTATATGGGATGGTGGAATATATGAACGTAATTCATTTTATGAAATAGCTGATCGTCTAGGTATAATGTTATGGCATGATTTTATGTTTGCTTGTAGTCTGTAAGTTTATCTAAATTATTAGTTTTTTTTTGTTTTCTTATATTTGAAAATTTAGTTATCCTGTTGATGAACCATTTTTAACAAATGTTCATGATGAAGTTATTTATCAAGTTAAACGAGTTCAACATCATCCATCTATTGTACTTTGCTTTGGAAATAATGAAAATGAAGCTGCTGTTGCACAAAATTGGTAGGGTGTATCACAAGAAAAAATGAAAAAAACAAAAGATGATTATAGAAAATTATATGCTGATACAATTATCGATGCTGTTAAACAAATTGATAAAGGAAATAATCGACCATTTGTTACTTCATCACCATCAAATGGACTTGAAACAATAATTGAAAATTATATTGCTAAGGATCCTCAAGATCCACTTTATGGTATATAAATGAACATTCATAAAGAATATTCGGCGATAAATCGTTCTTTTTAACTCATTCCCCTCCCAGTCTTGTTCGATTTCGGTCGATCAGTTGCTCAGTTCAAATAGTTTCTCTAATAGGAATTAACGTGTTACAACAGTACGAAACTACACTGACGAGAGAAGGTCATCAAATTATCGACACCGTTTTCAATGATATTTTGTCCATATGTCGAGGACTGATGGTGCTTTCTTTGAAGGTTATGACAATTTCACTGATTTTTTTCTCCCTAGCATAAGGTATATAGGGAAAAAACTGAACAATGAAATTTCAATCTGAAATTTTGCTCATATGTATCTCTTATGGTCATCAGAACATTCGAAAAGTTTCTTCAGTGGAAAAAAATGTTTTCTGTTGGACATATTCAATTTTAAAAAAAAGTAAATATTTCATGACTTTATAGATTATGAGACAAGTTTTCAAGAATCAATTTCTCCAACAGAAAACATTTTTTTCTGCTGAAGAAACTTTTCGAGTGTTCGAATGACCATAAGAGATACACATGAGCAAAATTTCAGATTGAAATTCCATTGTTCAATTTTTTCCTATATACCTTATGCTAGGTGGAAAAATCAGTAAAACGCGGTCATAATCTTCAAAGAAAATACCATTAGCCAAAACTCTCTCAAAATACTGTTCCCGACATATGGACAAAATATTATTGAAAACGCCGTGGATCAGTGGAAGTAAAATGGATGCACATGGAGTATAGTGAGAGAACTATTGGAGCAGGGGTGCACAATGAAAGTCGAAAGTATGTCGTTATCTTTTAGAATTTAGATCTAGATTTATCGCAGTTATAAAACTGTACTCTCGTACATCTTGTACTTCAGGGAGCATTGGAGTACCAGAATATGTCATTTCTTCCCTTTGTACGACCTCGTGTGAGGCTCATAAACTCTGCCTGTGGTAAATAATTTAATTATTTTAAAAAATGCCGAATAAATGAAAATTATAACAATTTTTATGGTTGATACGTGCGCTCTGAAATTTTATCATTTCGAAAATACTTTCATTTAGAATTTCTACTCTACCTATTTATTAGAGCGTTATTATAGAAAAAACGTATTTATATTGTCAGATGCATCTTCAATACATAACTTGTTTTCTCCTAATGATAATATATATGATATATGCCATAGAAATCGGCAAATATTTTTTTTTAACTGACGACATCCTGGTGCATACCGCACGGCTACTTTTCCCCTTTAACGTTTGATCTCTGATCTTTACCCTGTGACCTGGTAACAGTTGCACATACACTCGACATTATGCATATTGAAGATAGTCCTACGGCCTCATAGCCTTATTTCCTTCTGGCTCTTGTAGTCATAGTCTCTTCAAGCCTTACTCTCTATAGTCTTATTCGACCGTTGATCTAGGAACAGACAGACAGACAGACAGACACTGAACTTTATATATGTAGATTCTTTCTGATTTAATCATTCATTAATATACCATCCTTTCTCTCAACAAACTTTGACATATACTTTTGCCTAAATTTAGTATTCAATTAAACCATACTTTTCCTATGTTCGTCCTATTCTGACTCTGCTAGATCAATAATACCTCCGCTCTACTGATCGACACCTACAATAAGTTCTTTACGCTACATTAAATACCAAAACTCGCAATATTTAGACTAATTAGAATTTATAGTAGAAATCTTAGATTCATAGAATGCTTTGATTTAAGCACTGTTATTACTGGCGCGATTTTTCTTGTTTGCTACGATCTCTTGGGAAGAAGAGCCGCAAAAATCTCGATTTAAACTTACACTCACCATTTTCTTCGAATATATATATATCAGTTTCATAAACAAGAAATATTCTTCAAATGTGTTTGACTTCTCCTTTTGTCTGGACAACCTTTATGGATGATTCCTGATTATAAAAATAGAATAAAGTTTGCTTTTTTTGTTGTGGAACGAGTTTCTATTTTGTTTTTTAGGTGATGTTCATTTTTATGGATATCAAGATGATTCATGGGATTCAACAACATATCATATCGGATTTAAATTTTAATAGTTCATTTATTTTACATCGTGAACATTCAGAAAATCAATTGACTGCAATGATGTTTGTTATTTTATTTTGATTTTTGTTTTTTAATTTCTAGGAAACATATTGAAAGTAATTTACCATTACCAGTAACAAATGATTCATTAAGAAATTTTGCTCAATTAATTTATTTAAGTCAAATAAATCAAGCTATGACATTAAAAAGTATAAGTGATCTTTGTCGACTTCATTCATCAACAGATATGATTTATCCAAAAACAAGTCAAGGGTAAATTTTTTTTTTTGTTCTACAAATATTTTATTCTTTGTTTTTGTTAGTCATACCATGGGCTTAATGTATTGGCAAATAAATAATATTTGGCAAGCACCAACATGGGCAACAATTGAATATGGATTAAAATGGAAAATGAGTCATTATTATGTTGGTCATATGTATGTACCTGTTTATCCTATTGCTATGCTTACACCTTATTTAGCTAATGTTACAGATGAAAATGCTCAAGTTTCATTTTATGTTATTAATGAATTACTTAATGATACACGTGGTGATTTAATATGTTCAATTTATACATTAGATACATTATCACCTCGTTTATCATTTGGAAATGATATTTTATTTACTTCACCTGGTGTACAAAATATTATGAATTTTCCTTATTCATTATTAATGAAACGTGTTGATTGTAAAGATAACTCTCCATGTATAATTCATTGTTTATTAAATCATAATCAACATCAAATAGGACAAACATTATTTTTAAATCGACCAAAAAATTATCAATTATTAAATCCTAATTTACAAATTGAAAGTATTAAACAAATATCATCAACAGATTCTAATATAACAATTACTGTTGATCGACCAGCTTTATTTGTGTGGCTTGATATAACAGCTAATGTAACTGGTTATTTTTCACGAAATGAATTTCATGTTTCAACCAAGAATGACTATTAATTTTCATTCATGGATACCAATTAAAGATTTTGATATACGTCATACTTCATTGTTTGACGTTACATTACCATAATTCTTTTTTTTTCTTTCACTTGTTTTCAAAGCAATAAATAAACTATAGGATTTATTCATTAAGAATGATTAGATAAAAATCATTTCGAAAGAGTCTATTTGTTCAAATGTATTGCTTTTCCGATATCAAAACGACGGATATATGTGAATTATTTATAGATAATGATGATACATCATAGAACTGTGAGAAGTTGCTGATCGAAACTAATTTAACTTGAAAATTTCGTAAAAAAATGTTTAAAAAAAAATTGTCAACGGAGGTAAAATGTGAAACTTACAGATGTTCTTTTACCTTATTTCCTCTGCTGAAAGGAGGGTAATGCGCTGAGTAGCTACAACGACCAAATGTTCGTTTGTGTATTCGTCGTAGAGAACGAAAAGAATGTTCTTT